CGACGCGTTTCGATTTCATGTCGACTTCATGTATCACTGCATTTCGTTCTGCTATCTGCAAATTCTTTGTCTTCTTCTCCAATCTAGAGAACATACGTTAAATAAAAATGTTAGTCATATTCATTAAATCACAAACATATATCATTTATTTCCGTTAGTAGAATAACTATCTCCGATATGAATACATTTACTGTACTAAACATTTTAACTCTCAGTATTTTTGAAAATGCTCGCTAAGATTTCTATGAGCTATTACATCAGAGCATGATTTTATAGTGGCAGCTGTTATTCATTATAATTTAGTAAACGATATGTGTACCCGATTAAGTTTAGTTACATAACATATCTTCTCAACTTTCAGAATACATTATATATATTTGCTAAATAAAAATTAATTAAAATACCATTTTAATTACTTCAAGATTCTTGTACTAATATCTATGTTATTTTTTAATACATAGCATAGGCTCTATAGCATTGAAATCCGAACGTTACTACTGCAGTGCACTTATTTTCATTAAACAACGGTACATATCTATCATGCATCCAACAAGCGACCCAATTCATGCTTAAGCACAAAACGGAATGAAAATTCTTACATCGAGTTATTTCTGTATAGAAATTCATACTCTAGACAGACACAATGATTCTCAAAGTATCACAAGCCAATATCTATCAATACTAATATAATTTTTATTAATGCCATTTGACTTTCCTACCCATTTCACAAGTAAAGAAACAATGTGAAAAAATACTATACAGTATCACTTACTTGTTCTTGAGATCTTCGTTATCATCCCGCAAGCGTTTGATATTGAGCTCGAGCTTGACGCGTTCCGTGTCTGCCACGTCGAGCAGCTTTCGCTTGTTAGAGAGTACGGCCTCCATGTTGGACATTTCCCGAGTGAAAGTTTCCTGGGTGGTTTGCACCTCCCGCTTCAACCGCGAGTTCTCTGATTCGAGATAACGAATCGTTTCGATGTAAGATGCCGGACGATCGTTGAGATTGAGTGGGTTGCCTGGCCATCGATCGACGATCGGCGTCAACGTGCTCGGCGGCGATTGAATGATACTCCATGACGATGAGGTGGTGGTTGTCGTGGAGGATGCAACGAAGGACGGGACGATTGTCGCGGAGGACGTGACGGTTGTCGCGGAGGACGGGACGGTTGTCGCGGCGGCCGCCGTACTCTTCCTAGGCATCATTGTCGTCGTTGAGGTTAGTGGGTACGTGGTCTTTCTCTCGTATGCGGTTTCCCAGTTACGTGTCGCTTCTTCTTATTTGCTTGAATGGCTCCTGCCCTCGAACGAAGGTCAATACGGCCACAATCTAGCGTATAATGTATACAGAAGTGGCGTTAAATGAGAATACAAGGGCGTTAACAATAACAAATATTCTCTTAGAAGAGGAGAAAGTCTAAAAAATAAGGTTCAAACAAAGGACACACGCGTAATGTGTTAAAACACATCCGTACTCGACCAAGGCTGTAACGGAAGTAAGGGCCGTGGCACATGTTTTTTACATCATGATGGCACATAAAAATGCTTAAGCAGTAAAGGTACATTTTCACGAGCCGCTGAAATCGATCGTTTGAACGACAAAAAGGATCACGTGATCGAAATGGACGAATCAACGGCCAGTAGCGGGATCCAGTAACTTGTTATTGACAGTTTTCGGTATCGTTTAGTGCCGGTCTACAATAGGTGATTAAGGCCGGTATTCATAGTCCGTTCTTATATCCAAGATCGTCTTAAGTGTGGTCTTGGGTCGTCTTAAGATCCCATTCAACCAATGAAATGGCCGCATAGTATCTTAAGATCGTACTTAAGACGATCTTAAATAAAAGAACGGACTATGAATACCGGCCATAGACATAGTATATCTAGACCGAGTGT